TAGAACACAACATTCTTGACCTTGAGGAATTCTAAATTTCAAAAGTTTTATTACATAACAAAATGTTGATTCCACAAAACTTACTTATGCAGTATTTTAACCGCACGGTATTCTTAGTTATGCTATCTAAAAGTACCTACTCTTCCTCTCTCCTAGTAGTATAATCAGATGAGTTTTGTAAAGAAAAAATAACTTTTGTCTAATAAAGAGCCCATTTGATTAATTTTTAGAGTTTTAAAAGAGAAATCAACAGGCGTTTTTGGCATAAAAATATTGCCGTGACAAACGGTCATACAGGAAAATCTTTATGTAAATAACAAAAATATGCAATGTTCAGTTATTAAAGGCTTGTTATTATTATTATGGTTTTATTTACATGATGTTGATGGTTGGCGATAAGTAACAATAGCAATTATATTATTAAAATGAGTTACCGCACATTTTAATTGAGAGTTTGTATTCAAGAAAAAGTTTGCACCGTTTGAGCAAATACTATGCAGACTTAACTTTAGCACATTGTTGCAGTAATTGGAGATCGGTGTGTTCGGTTGTTGGAACGTCTAAACCGCGTTCTTAAAACAAAAACAATTTAGAAATATCTCCTTTGAAAACAGTAATCCAAACTGAGAAAAAATATGGACAAAAAAGTAAATTATTCTATATTTATTTTAAAACAGTTTGCTACAGGAGTGTTGTAAATCATTCGATGAGTAATATACAATACAATATTTTCTATTGGCCAACTCATAACTGCCTTGTATATTTTTTGTTGAGGGTAATAATAATGGAGAAATGAAATTTATTCTGAAGTTTTTAATTTTAAACTAAGACAGAGCACTGTGTGCCGTTGAAGCTCTCGTTCCTTTACCATCGAAATTAGCATTGCATGTAATGAAACTGTCTAGGGTTTTTATTGTTTTTTTACAGCCCGTTTTACGGCTCCTACTTGTGTTTTGTGTGTTTTATCTCAAAAACGCTTTCAGCAAAAGTTATTTTTGCAATCCTTCCAAGAATACAACACACCATTAAAACAAACGACCTCTCACTCCAAATACTTTAATTTTAATATCTGAGTTTTCACTTATTTTCAACATTTTGTTGATCTTCATAATAATATGGTCTGGGGCGTGTTTCTTGAAATTTAAGACTTCCAGGACAGAAATCTATAGGTATTATTTAAAAAAATAAATCGGATTTTAGTTAAAGAATATCGCAATAAATGATAATGGTAGATTGAAATAAATAAATAATTTGTTAATTAATACATAATAAACTTTAGGTATTAATACAATTCCAATTGCAATTGCAATATCATTCAATTTATTAACACTTTTTCTAACCGAGCCATGAAAAGGGACTCGAAAAGCGGATTTCGTCGCTGTCTAAAGGGAACATTTTCTTTAGAAAGTATTTTCAGTAAGTAATTTCAAGAAACTCTTCCAATTTTTACCGCATTACGTGTAGATAAAACCATGTTTAAAACTTAATAGACAGCTTTTTTAGCACAAAATTGTTGTATATAAACACTAAAGTGTTTTGTAAGAGCAACGCAAATGCATATAGTTTCAATTTTATAGCTTGTAATTTGTAGGACACCTTTCAATGGGCCAACACTTTGCATTATTAAAAAGTCTCCGTCATGTCGTAAAATTTAGACACATAAATCCGTCCCCGTTAACTCGCAAAATTACTGCTATGCGACAACAGCGCTTTTGAAGATGTGTGCAAATTCGACGAAGTATTACTCACTTTGTTAAAAAGCTTTTTAGAAAATTTGGTTTATTTACTTTATTAAAGCACAATTCCGCGCGCATGGCTATTTTTACCATACAGTAATGATTTAGTTTTAGATGCGAAGAAAAATAAAAATTGATGGGCTACAAGTTATAGCCCATCAATTTTTATTTTTCTACAAGTTGTAGAAAAATAAAAATTAGCCTACAACCCTTCTCATTTTCCGAAATGAGTTAATTGCTAGAAATTTAAGCATTGTAAGGGGATCCCCCTAATTCAACTACCCACTCGGGGTAATAATAGTAATAATAATAATAATAATAAATTTTTTATGGCAAGTCAAAACATAAGTATGAAGGTCTAAAGGAATACATATTTTGATTTTTAAATATCAATCTCTATGTGTGATGTCAACGCATAAAAATCAATTAATTTTCGTGATAATCAAATGTAAAAGTAAAAAACCCAAAATGCATTTTCTCATAAGATAAAACATTAATTCCTTATAACAATTTAAAAATTTGGTACATTATAATGCCCAGTTAAAATAATCAATTTTATACATCATAGGCCTACAGGCCTAGTCCATAGAGAAAGGAAAAAAGGAGAGGAACACTTTACGTGTTACGATTAAGGCACATAGTTTCGAGCGCCCTCGGTGGCTACGGGAATGAACTAGGTGTTTGGAGGGAGATTTAAAACTAAATATCTATTTAGATCTATTTATGATAGGAATAATAAAAATGCATATTAAGATAAATGGTTTTTTATTCAAGAAACAAATGTATATAAATAATAGACAGTGTGTGCCTGGTTGCCAATTGGAAAAACTTTTATAAGACAAAAATTGTTACGTTTTAAGAAAAAAAATACTTCATAAAAACTCGTGCTTGTTTAAAAAATGATATATCCATAAAAAAAATTTAAACAAATATACAGGGTGCTTCCAAATCAGGGATTAATTCATTTATAGAATGTTTTTAGAGAAAGTCGATGAAAATTATAATACGAAATAATAAAATATTGAATGCCTAATTTTATTTAAAGATGTTAATTTTTTAAATTTATATTTGGTCTTTAAATTGCCAACTATAAATATATATCTATAGATACTTTATATTATAAAATATTATAAATAAAGGTACTTTTTGAATTTTCTTAATTTTTAAACAACCTGTATATTTGATTAATTTTTTTAATGGGAATCTCATTTTTAAATAATTAGAATTTATTATGAAGAATGTTTTTTCGTAAAACGCATAATAAAAATGTTCACAAACCCCTCTGGGGAAACACTGTATATAACACTGTATTATAAAACAGAACAAAAATAAAAAATAACAAATAGGTACCTAACAAATAAAAACATTTTTAGCAGATATAATATGGTGAAAAAATTAATAAACTTTAATCTTAAATATAAACAAAACAAAAGAAACATTTTTGCATAAAAACATCTTATACAGGGTGTCCCATAATTAGCGTGCATACAAAAATAGGTCGAGAAATGCTTTCCAAGGGAGCTACAGCCCCCAAAACAGGAGCCCCTGAAGATGGTTTTTATTTAATATCTCCAAAACCGTTTAAGATAAAAAAGTGAAATTTTGGGATATAATCAAACTTTATATACCTAGCCAATAAATTAGAATGATTTTAAATTTTTATAAGGGGTGGGTCAGATAGAAATGGAGGGGGGGTAAAACTAACCTAACTTTTTTGTACGTATCATGTGCTATGATTTGATATCAGATCATAAAATTTCAGAGTTTTACACACAAAAAAGGTCCTCTTGATGAACTTCGATAGCATGCACCGTTTTCGCTTAAAATCGATTTAAAAATTACCTTAGATAGCATAAAAATTCATAATTAAATCACAACTAGAGAAAAAGATTCAGCGTAGGCCATGGACAATTTTTAAACATGGCCATGGACAATTTTTAAACACCCTGTCACATATTACATAAAACTGTCACCTGTATTAAATAATTTTTCCTAAAGATGGCAGCTGTGTTCCATGGCCTACTCTGAATTTTTCTCTCTTGTGAATTAATTATGATCTTTTATGCTATGTATGTAAGGTAATTTTTAAATGCATTTTAAGCGAAAACAATGGAGAATATCAAAGTTTAACAAGAGGACCTTTTTTGTGTGTAAAATTCCGAAATTTCATAATTCACATCAAATCCCAGCACGAGACACGTACAAAAAGTTAGGGTGGTTTTAACCTCTATTCCCTATCAATCTGATCCACCCCACATGGAAATTTTGAATTGTTATTATTACATCTTATTGGCCATAAAAAGTTTGATTAATTTCTACCTTAACGATTTTGGATATATTAAATAAAAACCATCTTCAGGGGCTCCTCATTTGGGGGCTGTAGTTCCCTTAGAAAGCATTTCTCGGCCTATGTTTATGGGAACTTTTTTTTCTTATTTTTGCACGTAGTATTGCACGCTAATTATGGGACACCCTGAATATTACATATAAAGCATATAAATTTTAATATTATTACCTCAAGTAAAGCTGTAAACCATATGTGGTTTATATTTTTATAATAATAACAATTTAAAGTTTAAACTGCCCATTATTATCTTTAGGGACATTGAGAATCTCCTACCAGGTATATCAGAACGATTAGATCCTAAAAAACAAAGTATTAAGGAGGTGCAGAGTGTTTATAAAATTATTACCTTTAATGTAGCTCTGGACAAAGCATAAACAAAAAAATAAACAAATAAACCATGTACACAAACAATGTAACCTCACAAAACGAAGTTTTATAATACAAAAATTACTCAAACACACTCGGTAGAATGTTGTCTTTGTTGAATACATATAAAAACAAAGACGGCTGCAGAGCAGTATGACAATTATTAAAAGTTTATATAGTTCAGCCGCTCACCACCATGCGCTATGCGCTACGGGAACGTTATGCATGCGCCGTCCTATTCAATTGGTGGTCTTTTTCTTTTCTTTTGTCTATGGCCTAGTCCATGTATTAAGACTTGAAACAATATAAACAAGATAAACTTATTATTTTTAAATTATTATATACGTGTGTAGTAAAATTTTCTGGCTAATAGGTTAGCTAACTATTTTAATTAACAAGGATTTGGTCGAATGATTCGCTTAATTTATTTAAAAAAAATATTATTATTTAGTTATTACCTATTAACAGTATAGCTCATAAATTTACCGCTATAAAATCCAATTACTATATTTAATAAAACTGTCATACTAATATTTAATTATTTTTTTCAGGAGAACCTTTCACAAGATCCTTCAGATAATCCAGATGACGATCATTTTTCAGGTATGTAATAAACAACATAAATATTAATTGAAAAAATCATCACCAAATTTATTTAATTTTTTGAGTATTTTTATTAGTTTTCTTTTCATCACCTTTTTCATTTACCCTTCTCTTAAATCATTATTAGCTAGTATGTTTTGTTTATAACACTTTCAACAAATTTATACAGTAATAAATATGCCTTGTGTCTAATTTAATCAAAATTTTCGTTCAAATTTAATAAACAAAATTACCAGGGTTGGTACATTTAAAAATAACAAATTTTTGTAATTCAACTTAATGAAATTGCAAATAGCAATTATATTTACAAGTTAATTATACCTCTTAAAGGCATTATAATTTCCATGAGAAATTCAATCAAAACCATTTAACCTAAACATCATTAAAGCTTGTTGTACATATCGCATTAAAATCATTGTAAATTAAATACCTACCACCTATTAACCGCATTTATACCGGGTGTCCCAAAAAAATATTCCAGTTTTTGGTTGTGTCATTTTTGGGACATCCCGTATAACAAATTACCAACCCTGGCTAATCGTGACCGTTTGATTGGCTGTGCAGGAGGGACCGGATCGATCAAAGAGAGCGACAAAATCAAACTGATGCTTTTGGCGTGGAACTATCACAATCAGAACCAAGGTAAACATTGAAACACAACCCCTTTTAAAATCCCGAAAAAATAACAAAATTTCTATGGTTTTTGGGTCTATAGTTTGAAGCTATCTATGTAGTATTTAGTCTATTGTTAAAAAAAATGTTGATCGTTATTTACCGATTTCCTTGTCTTAAAGTATTTAAAAAATGATAAAATGGTATAATTAACACAGATAAACATTATCTAAAACCAGTTTAAATACAAATAAAATTAAAAAGATGTTATTAAAATCACCTACTTATTATGCAGTCAATAATTATTAAGTGCACATGTTAAAAATCATTATAAACAAATTATCATTTTTCCAAACACTAACACAACACACTTCTTTATTTATTATTTTCATTCATCCATCATCAATAGTTGGTTAGTTTTTTTATTCATTTAGAAATTAACAAGATCAAGTATTTTTTTATATTAGATGGTCCATAATGTTAAGCGGTTTTAAACAAATGATAACAAAATTTCTAATACATGAATTGCAAAATATTTTGTTATGACAACCTCTCATACGTAGAGGTTATGAACTCTTGTGACCCCTTTTTAAGCTCCCCTTTATTTTTACACCATTGAGCAGTGTGGATGCGACACCCGCTTACACACGGCCAGTGGCGTGTTAATGGGGGCGCCCAAAGAAGCATAGTTTTTTTTACGCAAAAGAGCGAAAAACGCTTTGATTAAATACGTAAATAAAATAATAAAATTAATAATAAATAATAAAAACCTTTTTAGTAAAGTATAAATTCTTTAGTTTAATCTAAATGTTTGAGGAGGTTTTTGTGGATCACAAACTGCATATTTTCTCTAAAATAAAATTTAAATCGCCGCATTAAGCATTTTTAATGTTTAATTTTGGTTTAACGTTGCTCATTTAAAACCCCGAAGGCAGTAAAATGAATAAAATTAACTTTTATTATTAAATATAAAATATTCTCGCTTCTCTTTTGAAATAGACCATTCCAACTTTAGAGGAATATATTTTTTAAATGAATAATATACTTTATTTGAACGATAAAACTTTTCCTTTAGGAAACAACAGAAACGGCAGTGGTGACATGTCTGAACTTCCTTCGGTGCCTGGAGGCGAGGAAATGGCGGGGTTATGGGCCCAGTACCACTCGGCTCTGGGATTGGCCAAAGGGAAGGCCACGCCACCTACGACAAGAGACAATTCTGTAAGTAAAAAACTCATGAGGATAACTGAATAGAGTGTAATAATTTGGCTCTTAAGAAAAAATAAGAAAATAGTCAACTGCGGCCTATTATTCTACTTTACTCTATGAAAAAACTGGTGTGTGGTATAAAAGTATTTGGAGTACTGCATTTAGCCAATGTGGCACTGGCAACAAACGTATGTTCAACAGGTTCTGGCTTTTTTTAGCGCGACCGCAAGGTGGTCGAACAACTATGGTAATGCGCTAATGGGTGTACCATTTCGTGCATAAAAATTGCACTCTACCTCGAACAACTTATTTAGTCAATTAGCTTGAGAATCGAGAAATAAAGTCATATCCTTAAAACTTCAAATATGTTCTCCCTAAAAGTTTATGATACGACCTTACGACTGCATATTCTTGAGACTTCCTACTTTGACTATTTCAGTCATAGGCAATTAAAATCTATCAGTATGTCCTCGGACAATAAACTGCAATAGGAATTTGTCGATTTTTTTCACTATCGCTTCCTAGTTGGCAGCTGTTAGGTCTCTCGGTATGAGCTGGCCGGCCAATTTATTGCCATTCCGTCGGTATTTCAAGGAAACTGGTCGCTCGACCGCTTACCTACAGTTTCAGGTGTCCTGTAAATGGCCAACATTAACAATCGGTATTAACATATAAAATAAACAATTGTCATAAAGGAATTTGGCGCATAAAGCATTAAAAAAACTTGTTTGCCTTATAAAGGTTGTTTAGATATTGCACAGGGTGAACCCAATTAACACATAGTTAAAATACAACGTTGTTTAGGTATTTTCATATATAATACTACGAGTAGATAATCAAAAACATGTCGAATATTTTGAGGTGTGATATAGCAAATATTATTTGTGCTTGCTTTGAATAGTACCATTGCGCAGCACGAGTACTATTCGCAACCACAAACAATATTCGCTATGGCACAACTCAAAATATTCGACATATAGTTTTTTTTAGGAAAATTGTATTGATCTAAAAATTCTAAAAATTTAAATCACAATGCCCTAAATTCACCTCATAGTACTGGTACAATTACTTTTGATTGGTAAAAAATTGACAAATAAAGTGCTTTGATGAAGATAAATAAAAATTTATTTTATGCAATTATCTTAAACTGTTTATATTATAAAATTCTGTATTAACACATCTAAACTTTGTTTAGATATTTTCAATATAATTTCAGGATTTAAAAAGTTAATGTTATGCACATCTTCTTAATTGAGGCCAACTTAAACTATTTTTATAATTAAAACCCTTATGCTATCTTATTTGCATTTGAGTCTTTTTATACATTAACACATCTAAACTTTGTTAAGGTATTTTCAATAAATCTTTACCTTTTCAAAATTTGGAAAAAGGCTTAAATGCAAATTTACCTTCCGGTTTTGATAATAAAAATTGTTTAGGACAGCCTTAATTATGAATATGCCCATAAAAGTTTTTGAAAACCTGAAATTAAATTTATAATATCTAAACAAAAATTTTATGTGTTAAAGAGGAAAAAGGCTTAAATGCAAATTAGAAAGGGTTTAATAATACAAATATTTTCAGAAAACCTCAATTAAGAAGATGTGCATAAAATTAACTTTTGAAAACGATAAATTATATTGAAAATATCTAATCAAAGTTTTAGATGTGTTAATGTGGAAAAAGAATCAAATGCAAATAAGATATCATACAGGTTTTGATTATAAAAATGATTTAGGCCATCTTAATTAAGAAGATGCGCATAAAATAATCTTTAGAAAACGTGATATTATATTAAAAATATGTGAACAAAATTTAGATGTGTTAAAGTGTAAAAAATATAGCACAAGGGTTTTGATAATAAAAAAGACGCAATTAAAAAGTGCATAAAGTAAACTTTTGAAACGTTCAAATATATTGAAAATTTAGCAACTCTTTTTAATTGAGGCTCTTTAAAACTATTTTTATTATAAAAACCATTGTGCTATCTAATTTGCATTTAAGCCTTTTTTCACATTTAAATTTTGTATAATTTCACGTTTTCAAAAGTTTATTTTATTAACATCTAACATAAAATTTTAATCAAATAAGTTTATCAAAAATTATGCTCATAAAAAATAATCTCATTAAATTAACGTTATTAATGATGGTATGGGCAATAATTATATGTTATATATTAATATTACGACAATATATTACGATGCTTAATTACAATTATTATAAATGCTAATATATAGCATTTAGTGCTAATTAACATTATTACTTGGATGACTTATGGCAATTTTAATAAACAATAAATAACATACTATTCAATGAAAATGCAAATGGAAACATATTTTTCTTAAAAAAACGGTTTATAAACCGAGTTTTTCGAGAAAAATATATATATGGTATACCATCTACCAAACAATAGCTTCTTTTTGTAGCGATAAACCGATCATATAGAAATTGTAATGTAGCAATAAAAAGACGAACGAGAACGTCTAGTTGCTGCTCGCAGGACCTACAAAGAAACTAACGTGCACCGTGTCGACATGCCCAACATAGACATACAACATTCAATGCAAAATAATTATGCGGTTGTTAGGTTTAACACTGTCATTTTTTATCGGCAAAAATAAAGGTCACCGCAAGACAAAGACGACAAAGACGCCAAAGACGTTTGGTTTGTAATAGAATCTTTTACGCGGAGTAATAACAACATTGTTTAATGCTTTTACACAATAATTATACCTTGTAACGACTTTATTTTGAGAACATGTTTCAAAACCCTTACACTGTTCAAATTCACACCATACATGGTTTATATCGATACAAACCAAAATGGTGTTAAATATGGTTCGTTGCTCAAGTGTTAATTCAAATACTAAAATAGTGTAAATTTAACTTTCACACACTATTAAAATAAATTTTACCTGGTGTAAATTGAACTCCTTTTCAGTGTTAAATATTATGTGTTTTTCGTCAAATTAAATCATACTACAAAGAAAAAAAGGAAAAACAAGGGAACAGGAAAATCCTTGACGCATTACTAGTATTTTACCAGAGGTATTATTCCAGAAAATTGAACTCGCTAAAGATAATGTGTATTTAGTGCGTTTCACCAACTTAAAATACTTCAAGTTTCCACCTATTTAAGGTCTCTTTAGTATTGAACAACTTGTAGTGTCACACCAAAGCTTATATACTCTACATGTAAGTCAACAGAGGCGAGATTTAAGAATCCACACCACCTTTGCCGCGATCGGTACACACTATGCAACCAGGAATGCACGGCAAATTGTTTAAATCGTTTTAACAGAGTGCTTTAGGTTGAAGTAACTCTTATTTTACAAACAACATATTTAGTAAACTGAACCATACAGCGGGTTGGTTTCACTAAAGTTTTCTGGGTTAATTTAACCAATTAAAAAAAATAATAATAACTATCTGGTTTATTACCGTTAAACTAATCTTTGTTTATATTAATCTTCCCACAGTTGATTTAAATAAATACTTATGGGTCAACTAAATTAATATAGTTAAATGAACTATTCCTTTTTTTGTGTAGGTGCACTTCTCAAATATTTTTAGATAAACACCGTTTTGGTGTTTGCTGTATATAACATTAACCATAATTCATGGTGTTTATATTAACACCACTTGGTGTTGGATTTTGACACCATTTTAAGATTACTCTTTACACCACAGATATTTTAAACAGTGTATGCTATCTAATTTACATTCAACCCTTTCTAAATCCCAGATTGTCATTCGTAAAAGTATCAAGTACTGAGTTTTAACCATGAAATGCTATAAAACAAACAGTTTATAGATAAAAAAAGATAAATATGTGCTTTTTATGTGATTCCTTACATGTTATATGACACTTGGTGTTGATTACAGAGTCCAGTGAACGCGGAAACAGGATCCGCACACGACGAAACTAGCTCCAGTGGGAATAAAGAGGACGAAGACGACGACGACGATGAGAGTGACGATAAAATTGACACACACACCCACGATCCTGAAAGGCTAAAAGCCTTCAATGTACGTTTTTTACTACATTATATTATAAAGTAACATTTTAATTAAAATTTTTTGTAGATGTTTGTAAGATTGTTCGTGGATGAAAATCTCGATAGAATGGTCCCCATAAGTAAACAACCGAAGGAGAAAATCCAGGCAATCATCGATTCATGCACAAGGCAGTTTCCAGAGTTTGCAGAAAGAGCCCGTAAGAGGATCAGGACCTACTTGAAATCTTGCAGAAGGAATAAACGGGCGCGGGATCCAAATTCGCCATGGGATGCTGTAAGTAACCATGAGAATAAACAAAATCAGATTATTTTTATAATTATTTATTTATTTAGACAAGACCAACCCCAGCTCATCTGACATCAGTACAAGCTGAACAAATTCTTGCCTCAGCATGCGAAAACGAGAGTCACAATGCCAAACGAATGAGAATTGGTCTGGAGCCTGTCAGCCAGCCGATGCCCATCTTGCCAGGGGTTCAAGTAAGTAAAAGTCACATTTTTGAGTTTTACGGATTCATCTTCTTAGTTAGTTTAAAAACCTTAAATTGACCATAAAAAACTAAAATTATTAAAATTAGACATGCTTTCTTTTTAAATCCAAGATGGTGATAACAAACTTCTTAGTTTTAGACGGCATTTTAGTCGCTTTTACATTAATCTTTAAGATAAGAATTGACGATTTAAATAATTATTATTAAATATTAAATATATTTTTAGCCTACAGACACAACAGCTCCAATAAACAGGGGACTGGACTTCTCGAATAGCACGCCAGTAAAAATGGAAACCGACGGGGTAAATAACGTATTCCCCTCCTCCACCACACCTACCTCCACCTCAAACTCAATCTCAAAGGGACTCTCATTGACGCCTGACCTCAAAAATTCAGCTTTAAGGTAATAAAATTACTTAAAATAATAATATACAAAACCTGATTTTCTATCAGTGTTTCCAGTGCTCTCGGTGCAACCGCTATGAATGGAATTGGTATATCTAGTACAGCTGGGTCAGCTCCTACAGCTATGTACAGGCCCAATTTTTCACAGGCCTTTCAAAGAGCAGGACCGTACCCGCTATTTCCAGGGGCCACACCGTTTGGAGCTGGCGGAGGACTGCTTACAAACGGTGAGAATATTTCTTACTTCCATATTATTTATATGTGGCTTGTAACTATATATATATTAAATTTATTTTATGCACATCATCTTATTTAACATTTTTAGCAGCCAATGTCATTACCAAATTTCTTATGCAATGGTGATGAAAATGTATTTTAATCATATTAATTATGATGATATTTACACAATCAATTTTAAAACATTTACATTTTTTCGTTTGCTGGACCTTTTCCTTATTCCAAGTCACATATACTCAATTTAGTGTTGTCTATAGGAACTTATTGTTAATGTTTTAGGTCCTGCAGATCTCAGTATGAAGCAGAAGCCGTTGCTGAATCACAAGCTTAGTACTGGTGAGATGGCAGCTGTTAGGCAGCTGATTACTGGTTATCGCGAGTCAGCTGCGTTTTTGTTGAGATCAGCTGACGAGCTGGAGCAGCTGTTGTTGCAACAACAGCAGTAAAGTAATGAAAATTGAATATTTGTTAGTCAAATGCCATAAAATGAGAAGAACTTTTAGGTTTTTTTGTATTTTTAAAATGAGAGCCAGTAAAAATATTTGAGCCAATAGTTTGGCGTTTAGGCACAAGTGATTTAAAGCACTTTCTCACTTTTGTAATTTTTGAAGATTGATTATTTTAGAATGTTCGGACTGTTATACTATAAAATCTTGTACATAAACTTAATTTTTGCTACTTATTATCAGAAGAAAAACTGCTGAAATTATGTACAAAAAATGATGATGAAAAGGTTTCCTAGAGTTAAGTGAAAATATTTATTTATAGAAGTTAGAAAATATTATACAGGGGAAAATTTTATTATATTTGATATAAATGTTGAGAATTTATTCTGAGTGTACCAAAGACAATTGTATATAAACTTAAATGAAAATTCGCCGATTTTTTGTATCTATCAAAAATTAAATTATATTATTGTGCAAGATCGGTCGTGTAAAAAGTATTGTAAATTGCGCACTTATTCCAAATTGTAATTTTATTATATTTTAGAAAATGATATATTTTTTGTGAACACACTGCAATATTTGTAAAAGATTCTTCAACAATTATTGTTTCCTATCATGAGCTGAATAGTCTGAAGTATTAAAGGGCAAGATCTAAAGAAGAACGGTAACAATTATTGTTTTAAAATATTTTACGAAGCAAAATTTTAAGGATATTTTTCCTAGCCGCAATTGAAATAGTGTTGATAAAAAGTAAAGTATTTCTGTGATTGTTAGTATGTGTTAGTAAAAAGCGAACATCAGGAAAATATATAAGGAAGGAATAATAAAGTTTTTTGTTTGTTTTTTCGTAATATCTATGTATCTGTTTTATGTAAATTTCAACATTCCAATGTATTTCTGAATGTATATAATTAAATTGTATTTTGATCCGAAAACTGCCAGATTTGTCTATCAATAAACATGTCCACGTTATTTTATAGTTTGTCCCCAATTTTAATTTCACTTTTAAAACCAAGAAAAGATCTAAAGCAAAAAGGGTAAGTAAATTTACTATTTACTATTTACTATTTATATTATTTTTATTTGGAAAGATGAGCTTTTTCTTACATGAAAAAAGTCTATAATTAAATAGTATATACTATACTGTACAGTATTATAATAATATGTTGAAATGTGTTGTCTATAGAATTCATAATATATTATATTAGAGATGTCATATGCAACCCATATCACATGTTAGGTTGCCTTATATATAAATAAAAAATTAATACAATGTTACTTTTAGATCAAAGACAGTAATAATGTTTTTTTTATTTTAAAGTCTTTATTAATTAATTAATGATATCGTTAAGTCTTTATAAACACATATCCATTATAACAAGATACCTATGCCTGGCCAGGTTTAACAGGACGAATGTCAACGTAAGCTATACTGTATAGCGTATACATAACTATTTTAAGAATTTTAACTTGAGGTGTATTAAGATTGTTTTAAAAAATTTAACTTAGACCATAGAAACCAAGTGGTACAAGTACATTTTGTTTAGTTTTGAGATAATTATGTTTAATTTTTAAAAAACACTAGTAATTTATAGTCAAAATTGTTTGTTGTTTTATGACTTGGTTTTTGAAGATGTCTAAGCTTAGAATTCAGTTATATCCCTTGGATATCAAGTCAAATGTACCATTTCTTTTTCTGTACGTAATTTCTTTTTTTTTAATGTCACTTGTATCACTTGGCGTCTAGGGTCCTCATATAAAGTTTTTTTAATATAGAAATCCTATTAAATGGCTACGTAACATTTGACACGACGACAAAATACTTGCAATCCAAAATTCCTTTGACAAAATATCCGCCTGAACTTTTAACATTGGGCACATTAGGCTCGTGCCTAGGGCCCAACGGGGCCCAAAATAGAGAAAATGAAATCGTAAAAATGCACAAATAAAGTAAAAATATACCTACCTAATCTAAAAAAAGCTAATCTTAAAAAAAAATTACAACTCGACAAACCAAAGTCTTTAAATGTTATAAAAGCTGTCCAAATAGGATTCTTTATTTTATTCCATAATCTAATTCGAAAAAAGTGGAGGCTATTCGGAGTTCATGGCAGCGGCCTTTCTTAACACCTAATAGAAAAAAACATTTTTTATATTGTGCATAGGTAGGGTTAAGTTAGTTAAAAGTTAAATGAAGACTCCAATCAAAAACGATCAACCAGAACAGAAACTGGATATTTACTTCGAAAAACAGAGACATTCGAATTTACCTAACCTCATGACAATTATTTGGTAGAGAAATTTGGACGGATAAACGCCACCTGTAAATCTTTGCAAAACATTGAAAGAAATTTAACTGCTGCTTGAAAACTGTATAATGGTTTAATCGAATTTGTATAGCAATTAAGAGAAATAGAGGAAGAAGACAAAAAATTGCAGACAAATACCTTGTATAACGATGAGATATCAGGAGTTTAAGAAAACAGTTTTTTGATGAAGGACTTGCACAACATACTATTTTTAGTAGTTCAGGGAATTTAAAAATAAATGTTGTTTTTTTCTATATGTCATAAATTTATCATAGAATTAAAAATGAGAGTAAAATCGTATGATTTCGTAAACAAAGTTTTTGGTGTTTTTTTTGCTGAACATTTAGATGAATATTTTAAAGTGAGTATAAAAATATGAAATATTTTTATAATATGAATGTTAATAATAACATTGTTATGGATACAAAAAAAACGTTAGTTTTTAATTGATACCAATATTTTGTCTACTTTTCAATTCCTCTAAGTAATGCATCAGGCGAGAGATCATTTTCAAAGTTAAAACGAGTAAAATCCTATTTGTGTAAATCAATACATGAAAAAACTTGCATCCTTAGCAATTTTAAATGTTAAAAGCAATATTATAAAATATTTAATAACTTACCTGAAATTTAAGGGTGCCAAAAAATGTTTAGATAAGTTCCTACCTACCTAGTTATTAATAATTATAATTATAATTGATTAATAATTATAATTAATCCATATTAATAATGTTATTCTTGTGTTTAAATTTTTTATGATTTAAATACTTTACTAGGGCAATTTGAGAAGTTGTTTAGTTTTAAATCAAATTATGTTGTTTTGTGATTTGTTTTATTTTATTTCGTTTTTGTCTATGAAATTCCTGATAAAGTAAAACTAAAATCCAGTTTTTGACCTTAATACTACAATATTATTAAGGGTGTTTAGTCGTTAGGCAGGAGACCATATTTAAACCCTAAACCCAGGATATCCCTCAAAATCCAGGACATCACAGAAAATATCATCTTTGATATAAGGAAGCTATTTTGCATAAAGTAATATATGGACTAAAATTTAAAAAAATGTGGTTCAGTGTTGGTAATTGATAAATTGCAAGATATGATATCATTAAACAATTTCTAGCAACATTAAATACAACTTTCCCTTCTTCCTGTAGCAATTAGTAATTTAATCTTGTTTATTTATTCAATATTTTATATAAATGCAATACCAATAAATTGAAATTAGTATTTGCCAGTATGGAAGAGATTATAATTATCAACAACTTAGCATAAATATGAGTAAGTCCACAACATTCGCAATTAATAGCGACAGAATTAATAAACTATTAGACGCGTCCATAAATGGACTTGATTTTTTTTTCTTCCGGACATTTGTGGGAAATCCTCTATACCTTGTGGGCATATTTAAATTTATCCTTGCAAACGTTTTTTTTTCATATGGTTGTTTAATTGTTGTGTTTGTTTTTGGTCAATAATTGCAATTTAATTAAAATTAAGTAAAGATAAAAAACGTCACCTTATCTTGAAGCAACGAGGGTGGGTAAATAAGTCCTTGCAAAACAGTAGACGCAAAAAAACTCACTAGAAGACAAACCAATTTAAAGCGAAATTCACAATTTTTTTCCAATAATGCTACTACTTTTTGATTTTCACATAAGGAATTTAAAAATACGTAAAGGCATATCCCGTTCATTGGAGCAAGCAAAAATATGTTAAGGAGGTTCGGGCACCATATTAGCCGCTATGAGAAAATTTTAGGTAAAGGTAGAGTCTACATTTATAAAGTTTAAGAAATATTGACCGTCTGGTAACCGAGTAAAAATTATTAATGTTGCTAAGACTACATGGGCTGTTATCGTTTATTACTGCTAAACTGTATTGTGAATGTATGAGTGTGAGTATAAGAGACGTATAACCGGCCCCATTGCCTCATCGCTCCCGGGCCCCGCATAGGCCTCTGTTTCCTTGCGCCGATTTTTTTTCGCCACCAGCACGGCTTCCCCTAATTAGAGCTCGAGAGTGAAATGCCAATAGTTTTAGTAGCCATTCCCGGGTTCGCCGGGCCGATGCTCTACGCCCAGTAGGGTCAAGAAGGAGGTAGGATGGGAGGGAGATGTTTTGGTGTACAATTACGCCGACTCAAATCTAAGTATGACGCGGTATTACTCGGTATTAGTTCGGGAGTTGTAATTTTGATACAGTAGCCTTTGTTTATGTTTATGTTAGTCGGTCAGTAATTGGTTTCGTGAGTTACCTACTTAAGATTTGTGTGATATTGACTTTCGAGGCACGTTTGAGGCATATATAAAATAGGTATTTTATTTGGTCTATTACGATGTTGGTTTGTTGTTTCCTGTTCACCTTTTGTTTTTTGTTTTTTTTAATGTATTATTGTTTCTACTTGAGAAGGTAGAAACCTGGAGGCTTGGTGAGTTACGGGATTACTTGATTGTTAAGTCTTTGTCTTTTTGTGTATAATCTAATGTGTTTACAAAATCCATTAGAGTTTGAGTAGAGTGCTGTTTTTACTATGTTTGGGTTTTCTTGATTTATTGAGTGTTAGTTTATGTTCTAAATGTCAAATGTTTATTATTGGTCTCGTTTGGGTTAAAATTAAACTTTGTTTTGTTGGGGCCGTTCTTTAAGTTACTGGGTTTGGTGCTTGTCCTACTCAGCTTTGGTGTATGACCGCGATAGGTTCGAATGGGAAGTTTTGTTTTTTTTGTTGTTTGTCTTTTTTCTTTATTATTTTATGGTATTTGGTTAGTATTGTCTTTCTAATGTTTCTATTGTTACTGATGGTATCTATCGTATTTAATTTTGCAAATTATGTGTTAGGTCATGCATAATATGGTTAAGGATACAATTTTTGCGGATGGCCTTTTCCCCTCTTGTTTGACATCTTTTGTTTGTCTAGTGAAAAGCGTCCAATGACAGGAGGACCGCCCAGAAGCTGACACTTGTCACTTAACTCTTTCTTATCACTTAACACTTCACTCTTTATTGACCGTAACACTATATTAGTTTGCACTTTATGAAAATTGTTTGTTGGTTTTGGCTTTAACGTTTTAAGAGCTCTCGCTGCTACAATGCGT